AGGATAACCTGAGCCACTCTAACTAGAAGCTTTATCAAAAAGGAAAGTTTTAAGCCTAGCCTTAAAAGTAGACAGGGTGTCTGCCTCACGGACGTTTATGTTCTGGTTCCTTATGGGCGGATCTTTGTCTCCTCTAATAGTCTAGAGCTCTATTGCTGACTTTGTTTCTTCTTCTGTATCTGCTGGTTCTCAGTCTTCCATCCTCTGTTCCCAGGCTGCAGGCCCCTCCCCCGAGCGCTTATTCTGGTATCAGTGTCCTGGAGGCCCAGGAGGCCTTGACCCGGCAGCAGAAACAGAACCCTGGAGTGGAAGGAACTCCCCCGACCTACAGTGAGGCTATCGGGCATTTTTTCCACCCAGCGACGCTGAACTCCAGCCAGAGCCGTGGGGCCATGTCGCCGCTGCAGGGGGCGCCGTCCTCCATCATCCACGGCCTGCTCAGGCCGCAGGGGAGGGTGGAGAACAGGAACAGCAAGGAGAAATCCCACAAACCTCAGCAGGTGTGACTGGACCTTCTCCATCAGCTCAGCCAACGCTGATGTTTGGTCAGACTGTAAACGCTGAAGCTTCACTGCTCCTGCGTTTCTCTTTGGGGAGAACATCTGGAAACCTCCGAGCTTCTCCTCATCTCCTGCTTCAGGTATGATGAGCACTTCAGATGAACAAGGAGAAGATGAAGGTGGATGAAAGCCTCCTCCTCACGTTCCTCATCCTTCCTCCATCGTCTTTGTTCTCAGTGTTTAGCTGTTCTGTTTGTTTCTGGAGAACGGATCATTTCCAATCCTGCAAAACGCTTCAATCGTCTTCGCTTCTGCAGGATTTGTTCATTTCCTTTTTGATAATCCTCTGTTGCTCCTGCTCCGAGCTTGGCCTCGCCAGCGGGGCGTGAAAGCACATATTCCCAGTGTAGATTTAGCCGATGTGGTTGTAACGTAGCTCAGCAGGTGTAGCACCGTGCTAAACGTCCTCAGGCCTGAAGCTCCGCCTTACAAAGACCGACTCCTGCAGGAGATTCACGCATCCTGGTTTCAATTTGATGTCTTCTGAAGACGTTTGCACAAAGTCCAACTGTCATCTGCAGAGGAAAACGATCTGCAGCTGAGAATGGAGGGATCTCTTTGAAAACTTGATGCATTCATTTATTTAAAAAAAAGAGTCGTGAGAAACACGCCAGGGTGCCAACATGGAGACGAACACATTTCTTCACGACTTATGGGGTATATATACACACGTATGCAAAACGAGAGCAGAAAAGCACGAAGTTAGAGTTATTTATATATTTGCTGAAAAGAATTGCACTATTTTGTTTAGAATGATGGGTCATTAGAGAGGGACTCTTATTGGGAAGGAGCTCTCTGTTTGGGTTAAAGAGGAGAAGCGGCGGCGTTTTAGGAGCAGCTCTGTGCACAGCAGCAAACATCAGTCGATGGGAAGATCTGACTTTGGTCCAAAGGACTCAGACGACGTTTCTGCACCATAGAAAAAAAGAATCTCCAGTTTATGCAAACGTCTGAGTCCAGCGGGCCGATCAGAGGTCAGCAACCCTGTGGGTCCAATCAGAAACCCCGGATCTCTCTCCGTCTCTCATCCCTGTCGGCCGAATCATTAGCAATCCAAAGCTGCTACTACCTCGACCAATCGATGAAGCACACACGTTCCTCCAGCCGAATCACTCTGCAGCGTCTAACGGGCGTCTGAGCCAATCCAGATCATGTGGAACGTAGAAGTAGAGTAGAGTAGAATTAGGTGTTTTCTATCTTTTATTTGTTCATTAGCAGAGAGACGGCGAATGTCCTCGTTGTGGAGCGTAACTCAGGAAGAAAGCCTGTTACCCAGCAGGTCCCTGATCGTCCGATGGTTGGCTGTGCATAGGGCAGACCTAGCGCCGCTAGAAACCCAAACTTCTCCTCTTTCAGTGGGCATCTCTGAGCACTTTACTGCAACAGAACCGAGTCCACAATCCTGAGTGGGCCAAACAATCCTGAGTGGGCCAGTGGCAGCAAGCAGAGACCTTAGAGCTGCTTTCCTCCTGCTTCATGACGTTTCTAAATCAGTGGTGTTCTGCCTAAACCAGGTTCTGATGTTTAGCAGAACCGACCACAAGTATTTCCTGATATGCTTTAGTTTCTGCTTTGTCTTTGTTTCTTTAACTCATGATGGGCTGTTGAAACTAGACACACCTGAGTGTTAAAAAGTGACACGAGTGTTAACAGCAGCCTGTCCCGTCAAAATAAAAGCAGAAGACGATGATCTGACCTGAAGCCGGAGATGAGAT